GGATTAAAAAAACAAGACCTAGCCTGGCCAGCATGGCTAAGTGGTTGAGCATCAACCTATGATCCAGATCGTGGTTCGATTCCCAGTGAGGGCACATACCCAGATTGCGGGCTCGATCCCCAGAAGGGGGCACGCAAGAGGCAGCTGATCAATGATTCTCTCTCTCATCATTGATGTTTCCATCTCTCTTTCCCTCTCCCTTCCTCTCTCTAAAATCAATAAAAATGTATTAAAAAACAAGACCTAACTATATGCTGCTTACAAAAAATGCATTTTAAATATAAAAATATAAACAGGTTAAAGTAAAAGGAAGAAGAAAGACATATCATGCTAACACTAATTAAAGGAAAGATTAGTGGATATGTTAATATTTGCCAAAGTAGATTTCAAAGTAAACAATATCACCAGGAATAAGGAGGTCATTTCACAATGATAAAGGGTCAATTCATCAAGAGGATACAACAATCCGAAACATTTTAAGTACCTAATTACAATGCTGCAAAAACTGATAGAACCAGGAGTAGAAATTGACAAATCCACAATTATAGTCATACTTCTCTCAATAATTAATACCAGAATAAAAAATCAGTAAGAACATAGAAGACCTGAACAATATCACCAACTTTCCGTAACTGACATTTAGGGAACATGATGACATAATAGGATACTCTACCCAACAAAAAACAGCAAAGTATACTTTTGAATATAGAATATATTTTTCTCTAATGCACATGGAATACTTCTAAGACAGACCACATTCTGGGCCATAAAACAAACCTGAATACATTTAAAAAACTCAAGTCACACAAGGCGTGTTTTCTGACCACATGGAATCAAATTTGAAATCAGTAACAAGACACTATGAAAATTCCCAAATAACCCCAAACTAAATAGCATACTTCTGAAATTATTCATGAATCAAAGATAAAATCAAAAGTGAACCTGGAAAGTACTTTGAATTGAATGCAACATATCAAAATTGATGGGATGCAAATAAAGCCATATTTAGAGGATAAATTTATAGGACAAAACCCCTAAGAATGGACTCAATAACTTCAGTTTCCACATTAAGAAACTATAAAAAGAACAAATTAAACCCTAAGTAAAAGAAAGGGAATAATATCAGATTAGAAACTGATGAAACCAAAAACAGAAAAACAGAGAAAAATCAAATCAAAAACTCGTTCTTTTGAAATCAATTAAACAGGCTGGAATCAACTGTGTCGAGACAGTGTGCTCAATGTTGATGTTTAAGCTATTCATCTTATCTCATTTTTTTTTTTTTTTAATATATCCTTATTGATTTCAGAGAGAGGAAAGGAGATGGAGAGATATAGAAACATCAATGATGAGAGAGTCATTGATCCGCTGCAGCCCGCAACCCGGGCATGTGCCCAGACCGGGAATCAAACCCCGATCGCCTGGATCCTAGGTCGACACTCAACCGCGGAGCCACGCCCGGCCGGGCTCATTCTAAATTTGAAGAAATTATGAAGGAGGCATAAGAAGTATTAGACATATAGACTCAGAGGTTACAGTTTTAATCTGCATATGTTTCTCTGAAAAATACAAAAGGCATATCAGTGCCTGGACAAACCAAATAGCTCTTCCAAACAATAGTTTTCTTGGAAATAAAGGGACTGAATTAGATAATCTCTAAAATCTCTTTAAGTTCTAAGATCTACATGCCAAATAAAAGGCTACAAATGACCTGAACAAGATGTTCTGATAAAACCCTAGGAAACTGGGGAAAAGTTGGTCAATCCAGTCATAACTAAATTCATATGTTTAAATATTATCCTTGGGGAAAATCAAAGGAGAATTTGTTTCCTTTAAAATCAATATTACTAATTACTTAATCATTACTTCTCTGCTTATCGCTCCTGTGAGATGGCCATCTTATATGCACTACTTCTTACTCAATCTTACTCCTTCCAGTAATAGTTCATAAATATAAATATATACAAATAAGTATATGTAATTACTATATACACATACATTATATATAGATATAGATATAGTGTGTGCGTGCATGAAATTACAAAATGAGGAAGTTCTAGAAGCTGGGATGGAATGAAGGCCTGTCATAAACACTGGGATGGAATGAGGGCCTGTCATAAACAATTTATTTGTTCAAATGTCCTACTGTGGGTCAGGCATTTTTATTATCTGAGATATTTAGGAACCTTCTGCTGCCACCTTTTAGGAGAAAATTACCTTACACTAGCGATTTTCAACCTTTTTCATTTCATGGCACACATAAACTAATTACTAAAATTCTGCGGCACATTAAAAAAATATATATTTTGCGATCTGACAAAAAAAAAGTATAATTTTGATTCATTCACACCAGATGGCTATTATTGTGTTGGCTGTTGTCATTTTTTTATTCAACAATCTAAGGGAAAAGAGGTCAGTGCCCCTGACTAGTCAGGTACTGTATGTTTTAAAAGTTCTTGCAGCACACCAGTGTGCCTTGACACTCCAGTTAAAAATTGCTGCCTTATACAAATAGATCATAAATAATACTGAAATCTGCCCAGAGTGTTCAGGTCTGGATAAACAAGTAGACTAGTCTTGCATAGTAGTTAATTTTTTATTTTATTTTTATTGATTTTAGAGAAAAGGGAGGGGAGAGAAAAGAGGGGGAGGGAGGAAGCAAGGGAGGAAGAGAGGAAAGAAAGAGAAAAAAATATCGATGTTGTTCTACTTATTTATGCATTGACTCTTACATGTGCCCTGACTGGGGACCAAACCCACAATCTTGGTGCATCAGGGAGGCTCTAACCAACTGAGCTACCCGGCCAGGGCCTACTTTATGGAAATTATTATGAGTATTAAATAAATGAACACAGGTAAAGATAATTATCATCCTCTCACATAAAGTTTGATAAAGAATACCAGAAGCTATGCAAATTAAGACAGCACATTAAGTAAAACTCACACTTCCCTCAATTTAAAGTTCCTATAAAGTTATATATTGATGTATTACAGGGGGAGGGTCTGTGCTCATGAAAACATATACATAAGTAGTTTAAAGAAAAGTTTTAATATGAGACTGAATGAGCTTTATGCTCAAGTCCAGTAACACTGCAGACCTCCTAAATTCTGCCTACTTTAACTTGCATAACTAAGAAGTATAAAACACAGGCTCTATTTAAGACCCTTCACCGTCAGTATTTTAAAATACCCTCATAGTTCACTAAAAATTATATGCGTAATAGAAAGATGTGGGTCACATTCTAATAGCCACTCTACAATTGTGTGACCTAACCAAAGGGATTATTTGCTCAATCTCATTTCTTACATCTATGGCATATTGAGGGGAGAATGATGAAATGCCCCCTCCATCACCCTTAGCACACAGCATGTCTCAATTTATGTTCATTTTCCTTTTTTTATGTTTGATGTCACCTTTTGCCAATTAAACGTGCCATTTCAACATAAATATACATTTTTAGTGTTCCTTCAAAAGCTTTACTTCAAAACCACTATGTAATTAAAATAGGGTGGGGCCCGGCAGGGCGTGGCTCAGCCATTTAGCATCAACCTATGATCCAGGAGATTGGGGTTTGATTCCCAGTCAGGGCACGTGCCCCAGTTGCTGGCTCCATCCCCAGTAGGGGGCGTGTGGAGGCAGTCGATCAATGACTCTCATCATTGATGTTTCTCTTTCTCCCCCTTTCCCTTCTTCTCCCTGAAATCAATAAAGATATATTAAAAATAAATAAAAATAGGGTGGCAATAATCTTCCGACAAAATGAAATAAGATAGGTACAACTTTTGTAATAAATGCAAACCTTCAGAGTAAATAAAGTATCATTATAAGTTAATGAGAATCCTATGATCACTATTACCTTCTGGAAGTAGCCTCAAGAAATACCTAACTCTGGCCAATTTTAATTGATTCAAACATTATTGTTGGCAAACATTCTGGCATCCAAAAGGACGAGACTAAACAATAATATTCAACCGATTATTATTATTTGGAAATGTACTCCACAACTACTTTATTCTGGGCCTATTTATAAGGATAGTTTTCTTTGGAATTAAATATTCCACAGTACAAAATAATTTTCTTAAAGGTGGATATTTTCATTTAAAAACCTATCCTCAACCCTTCTGAGCCAAAGCATTCTCTTCCATGTGCAGAACTTGGTCTTTGCCAAGTACTTACTTGAGAGCCGTACAAACCCGAGCCTGGGGAAGTCCTGGTTGTGCCACCTTCAGGTGGAGTGGGTGGTACAGCTTTCCATTCATATAATTCTCATCTATTTCATGTAGCTCTTTTTTAATAGCGGTGCTTTTGATAGCACGGTCTCAGTGTGGACACGAAGACTAGGGATACCAAGGGATTGCTCTGACAAGCACCACTTACGGTGTGGCTCTAAGTTTTCACGAAGAACAGATACAAGCAGCAGACACACACACACAGAACCTACAGGCCAGTGTAAATCTGAAACAGCTGCACGAAGCCCGTCAACTTCAATTGATCAGTATCCCAGAGTGGTAGCCCTCAAACGTTTTGAGTGACAGCCAACTCCCTTCCATCTTAAGGACAATCTAACCAAACCAGTACCCTAAATCTCTGAAGTGTACTGGGAATGTTCCTTCCTCTTCCAGGGAGTCGGGTGAGAACTGACGAGGGAAATGGCAGTAAGAAAAAGAAAACGAGACCTCCACACAGGAGGATGAGTGAACTAGAAACTTCCTCGCGAAAACCATAATCGTCTCACTTATTCTTTGTCCAAAGCAGTATTGTGTGCGAGTTACTGACTCTGACTTGAAATAATGAACTTCCAACGGGCCGGCAGCGCGGAGGCCGGAGGCGGCCGCTCGTCGCGTCCTCCCTCCGCGGTCCCCGCACCACCGCTCGGCCCGGTTCCTCCCCGAAAACGCCACCGACGCAGGGCCGGCCACACACTTCCGCAACTGCTCGGCGGCAGGGAAAGCCCCGCAGCGGGCGGCCGCGCCCGGCGGTCCACCCGCCCGGTACTCACACACGCACAGCTCCACCACGTACGCGTAGTAGGACCAGGCCACCACGAAGGCGATGAACAGCACCGGCACCCAGCCCACGCCGCGTTGGCAGCAGCGCCAGAACCGCCCCGGCGCCATGTT